GTAGTTTACTTGCTCTTGTAATGTGGTTATCATGTAGGCTTACTTATAATAAAAAATATATCAAATAAAACCTTATATAAACAAACATATACATCTGCACGTTACATTGAGTACAGCTGCAGTTCCACTCTGTCATACAGTCTGGGGTCAAACATGCTGAATTAAATGGTATGTGGTGCCCTCATCTGTCCAACTCTCAGCACTGCACCTTAGATTTAATTAAACTGTAATAAATGAAGGGAACAACCTACTGAAAGGCTGACTGACTGTAGAAGCTGAGGAATAAAAAGCTTGTAGAATATGATACAAAGTCTATAGAAATGGACTACAAACACAAAAAACACAGTTGAGTGAACAAAAGGACAGATATTGTCGTTTTCATGCCCATAGTTGTGCTTCTGAATATAACTTGATGAAGCAACATTTGAGCAGCGTTAAACATTATTCATTAGCAATTCAAGGAATGAATCCGTGAACTATGTTTGTGATTCACATAAATGTTATTTAACATCAGAAGAGTATTGTAGAAGTAAACTTTCTTTCAGAGCAATATAGAAAAACAACAGCTATTCTTGCAACATGTTGGACATGTCCACGTTTTCCACTGTTAGAATAAACAGGTTAGTCGTCTGAACTGTTCCTCAGGATCAAAAACAACTTTCAGGGTCCAAATCTTACACTACACGATGCAGGTCACTACATTTTTAACATAAACTGGCAAATTTCAATTCACACTTCTGAAGCTCAAATATATTTACTGTGCATACATTTATTCCTCTCTGTGATGGAAATAATGAGGTTGTCATCTGTTCGTTTACAAAACCACTGGTGTTCATTTATTACAAATATTTACATTCAGCATGTTACATAATAAGCCCACACTCATTAAAAATGGTATAAACTGGAGTAATCAATACCTTCCAAAACTCAATCGGCTCAATTAATGAAGCATAAAAGAAAAAGAAACAGAAGAGTCCCGGACTCATCAAGGCTGTTTCAGTGACTTCAGTGAGAGACCTGCCCCCTTCACTTCATCCAGCCTGAACCTTTAGAACAGAAATGGGGCTCATTTCAAGCAGATCGCCACCATCTTCAGTATCGCCTCCCTGCAGAGTAATTCACATGAATCAGACAGGTTTTGAATAACATTTTGATTCTGAACACTGGTGCAGCCGATTTGGAGAAACATAATTAAAATAACAAACCTGACACACGGGATGTACGACAGGCTGTACCTGGATACAAAACACACCTGTGTCACACACTGACAGAGACGTCAGACTGAAACAATCAGTGAACATTCAAGAGAAACTGGGACCTACCAGGAAAATGACAAGACTTGCAAGATGCAAAATAACAAAGCAAGTCCAAAGTTCTTCCACTGTAAGAAGGAAACACTGCTGTGAAAGACTGGACTTAAACAATAGTGTATCATTTACTTCATTGTGTACAATCAAATCAGTTGTTTACTGAAGTTAGACAGTGGTAACTGTTGTTTTTGCTCACTCACCCAGAAAGCTGCACAGAGAGTCAACACAAGGCAAGTCTAGAGCAATGAATGAGACACATGTAATCAACAACATGGACTTACACTGATTGATGGCTGTCCGTCATCAGTTATTTACACAATCTTTATAATCTGAATTATAAAAGTTGCTTTATTTATTTATTTATTTCTATATCTTTTATCTTTGATTTTATTTGATGATTTTGACTCCATGATAATAAATAATCCATAATCCATTTTTTTTTATCATTAATTGTCTAAATTCTAACTGCAATAACTGCAAGTTTCAGTTTCATGTGTGATTATGCTTGAGGACATTTCCTGGACAGATAGAAAACAAAAAACACTATGTCGTCACATTTTCCTTTACAACAGTAAATGGATCTGTCCAGGTTTGATATTTACAGAGTGGAAAAGCCTTCTCAATGTAAAAAGCAGTAATGGAGTGTGTAAGAGAGTAGAAGGAAAAAAAAATAAACATGAGCACTTACAATCATGATAGTGGTGGCCAGGGCTCTTGTTTTGTCACACATCCTCTTCAGCTGCTTCAGTGGCCCCATCAGAAACATGGTGCTGTTCAACACAGTCATAGGTTGACAAATGTTTAGAAATGTTTATATTCAACAAGTACGTACTGCCCACACTGATGCTCACTCCTCTTCACATGATCAAGAGCTCATCTTCAAATAAAACACATCGCAATTCCAGCTGCTTTACAGCTGTGGACACTGACCTGCACAGAGCACATATGTTTCCAAAAGTGTAAAAGACGATGAAGAGCATGAGTCCGATCCTGGGGATGAAGAGCATACAAACTCCCTGCAGGACAGAGAAGAAGAAAGCTGATTCTTCACCCACATGAATGGCATGTTTTATGTGTAGTAGAGGAAGAAAATCTCCTAAAAGGCCTCAGTTTGTGAGACACCTCCACTCGAGGTATCACAACCAGCATGTTTTTTCATATCTTTGGTGTGTCTGTTTCATGAAATGGATGGTTAGTATAAAATATTTACTGTAAAAGTAGTTTATTTGGATGATATTTGAATCCTCCCAAAAAAATTATGAAATAATGAAAAATTTGGATTCTACACAAGGGTCAGCATCTGGGATTTCACTTTTATCTCTAGGAGTAATGGTCAGACTGTACGTCCACAGGTAGTTGATTAATGCAGAGATAATAATAAAGCCACAAGTATATGACTATTTTTTGAAAATACATACCCTTACACATACATTGAATAAAGAAATAAATATAGAAAATATATTTATATATATGCCTATACTTTTAAAAAGAAGGTCAATAATCAAAAATACAATGGTGCCCTACTGCTGTAAATGTGTTAAACAAAACTGTACTACGTTTGACTGTGAGCTGCAGCTGCAGGACAGGTTAGTGCTGCCGGAGGAATGAACATCACATCCTCCACATTCCTCTGAGCAAGAAGAACCTGTAAGGTCACATCACCTCTCCCTGCCTCTTCTTCCTCTTCGTGTGGAGCACAAAAATCACACCAGTTGTAGATCAACGCAGAAACTAATACAGATCCTTACCAAAATGGTGCAGGCGGCCCCCACCACAAAACAGGCGACGAATCCCTTCAAACGTGTGCCCCAGCCCAAAGTGGAGGCCTCGTTCACGGTCTGCAGGGACAGAGACAGCTATCAGCTGGGATTCACAGTCTGAACAAAGTGGCCTGAAGTCAGAGTTCAGTTTTACCTCTAAGACGGTCCGGTCATCTCTGCGCGCCTCTTCTCCACTTAAAACCGATTTTAATTTATCCATTGCTGAGGATCGATCAAACTCGTCCGGATCGATGACAGATGTGATCGTTTCCTGGAGCGACAGACAAAAGTAGCCGGTTTCCTCAAATCTGTGCGTGGATGGACAACGTCACATGTCAGCTGGGAGTCTGACTGCTTACCTGGCCAGGTGGATGAAATCCGTCTAGTCACACCTGGGCGGAGAAGCAGCAGGAGGTCTCACTTTTTTTTTTTCCAGCCATTTAAAAGAATCTTAAAGCAGAACACGGATATTTAACCAGATTAAAGTGTTAAAAAGAAAATCTTATGCACATTAAAATACAGCTTTCTATAGAAACTAGTTAAGTTTTAATATTAGTTGATCTATTTTAGCTATTTAGTTGAAATGTATATATATATATATAGGCTATTATCACCTTAGTGATAATGAGTATGAGTATATATTATGTAAATACTGTAAATATGTGATGAGTATCAATCAATAAAAAAAATAATCAACAACTATTTTGATTATTTATTTATGATATTATGATATTCAGCTATTTTTATGCCACAATACTAAATATTCTTTCGTTTAATTGTGATGATTTGTTGTTCTTCTCTGTCTTATCTGATAATCAGCTGGATATATTTGGTTTTTAGACTGCTGCAGTGATAATGACATAATGATAATGTTTTTGTGAGTTGATCTATCAAGAAAATAACCAGGAGCTTCATAATCAATCATGACAATCATTAGTTACATCTCTAATATGCAACTGTTTCAAGTTTGCAGCGACCAGACTGCTTGTTATAACAAAATACATTTGCATCAAAGTAAACTTCAGTGTCCAACCCAGTGCCATCAGACACGGGCCACCCTGTTAAGCACTGAGTGATTACTCCTCTTCAACATAGAAGATCTTTGTTGACCCCTGCTGCCAGTACATATAGTATGTATGCTGTCCTGACAAGGGTAAGTCTGAGGGGCAGTTCATCAGCCACAGGATAAAACGACTACCTCCTGCTGGGATGATTATGTGATGCATGAGTGATGATTTGCTTTTAATGTGATGTTTTGTGATGTCACTATAGTGACAAAAGGTAAATGACATTTATAGTAGCATGACTTCTATGAATAATCCTATTATAACTATTTAAATGGTAAGAAAGTGTATGATGAGGTTACTATAAACACCATGTTGACTATCACTGACACACAGTTTGTCCCTACACATAGACAATACATTCTGCACAAATGAAGACAGGCTATTTAAAGAATTTTAACAAAATTCTTATTGTTTGGCATTGGGTTTGTTTTACACATATGAGTCAACTTCCTAAAATTATGAAACAAAAAAGCCACATAAAAATACCTTCAAGTAATGTCTGCTGTACTAATATTATCTGTTTTCACCACAAGATGGCACTACTGAACACCAACATGTCTGACAAGAAAAGTTGGGCGGGTCAAATGTAAAGCATGCAATCCACAAATCCTTATGAGTTCACTTATACTGTGTGTGCAAATTAATATTAAACGGATATGACAGAATATATGCAAAGTATCAGGCCACAGCAGAATAAATAGCAATGCACAATAAGAGTGAGGCTAAAGGCGGTGTACAGCTGATTAAATAAGGCAGAGGTAGAGATATACAAGTGTTTCTAAAGGAAAGCATCCAGAAACCGTGTCCTTGTCCCTTTTTTTGTCTGCATGCCTTGATTCCTGTCCTATTGCTGCAAACATTACATCCCTGATACTGTGATATATATGAGTCACAATGTGGGTGAGCAACAGTCCTCTTCATAAAATCTCATCCTCTGACTCTGCATCCCTCTCTCTGGGCTTCAGGAGTCCCATTTCCATCGGAGGAGTCCTCTTCAATCTGGAGCGAACCACACTACAGAGAAAGCAAAACAAACACCACATTAGAGCTGCTCAACTTGTTAATCCCAGTGTGGATGAATCTGTAAGACTTCCAGGACAAATACACGAGCAGCAGCTTATAGGCCGTCTGGTATAGAGTAGGTTCTCACCAGCTGACGGTGCAATAGAGCACGCTCACGACGAGCATGGCGAAGGCGAGGTGCCAGGAGTAACACATGGTGATGAACATCATATTGTTGTGATCCTTTAGGTCCCACTCAGGGCCACTGGGAGGGTACAGCACAAAACCGATCTGTGTGCAAAGAGAGGGTAACGTCAGGAGTTAGGACAGACCTCCGCCATGAACTTCTGCTCGTACATCAACACATTCAGACGTACCTGCCAGAACCAGCTTCCCTGCAGGATAGTGAGGGTGCACCGCAGCAGCTCCAGAATGATGTTGCCTCGGTGGAAGACCTCCAGGCAGGCAACAAGAGCCTCTCCAAAGACGGCATAGAGCAGGAGTTGATGCACATGGACGTCCAGCATACTTCTGCCATGGAGATGGTAGAGGAAGAGAAATCCTGCATAAACAAAGGAAAGATATCATGAGAACATAGATGAGAAAAGTAAAATATGTTTTCATCCATTTATCACTTTGTTAGTATGATGCTGACAAACTGTCAAAAAGCATCTTTAATGTATTTTTGTTTTGTTATCCAAAGTTATAACCGTGCATCCATGTGCCTTTTCTGAGTGAGTCTCTTTTGATCTAATAAAACAGATATTAATGATATTAATCCTCTATGTCATTAGTAATTCTCCAGTTACCTGGGAGCACAGGGAAATATTAGAGTAGAGTAGCTCAACTAACTCAACTAGCAAGCAGAGAAGACAAAACAGATAAAAAGTACTGGATAAATGGTTGAAATTTCTAGCTAAATTAATGAATAATACAGTCAAATAGTTAACTTCAGGTAAAAGTAATGGATCATTACAATAGTTAGCTAAAAGTAATGGTTAAATGGTTAAAATAAATACTTAAATGCAATTAGCTAAATCTTTAGCTAACAGTAATTTAGCTAAAACTCTATCTAAGTAATGGATAAATTGCAACAAATAATTTCTAAAACTAATTCATATGCAGTTCAAACAATTGATGTCAGCAGAAAGTAATGGATAAATGATTGAAATAGCTATAGATACCTAATAAATGACTAAACAGTTAAGATAGTTTTAACTTTAGCTAACAGTAATTTAACTAAAACTTAAGCTAAGTAATGGAAACCAAATTTGATTAGTTAGCTAAAAGTGATGGGTAAATGGTTAAAATTAATTTCTGAAACTAATGCATACACAGCTCATAGTTCATTCAATAGTTAACATTATAGCTAAATGTAATGGATAAATTGTTAAAAATGAACAGTAGTAACAGATAAATACTGATGGAGCTATATGTAACGGACAAGTCGTGGCATTAGCTGTAGACAGAAGGACTGGGTCAACAGTTGAAGGCTAAAAGTAATGAATACATAGTTAAAATAAATAGCTAAACATACCTGATAAAGACTTGGAATAAATAGCTAAAGTGAAGTGGATAAATAATTGAAATAGCTAATGCTAGCTAAATGTAAAGGATAAATGATGGAAGTCTAGCTTCTGCTACTAGTAGTACAAATGCAAACTTGACCAAACCAACCAAAACACTGACAGATAAACTGTATGAAACAATATTAATCGTGTTAAATAGCATACATTTTAAAATTAGTTCAGATGAACAAGTTTGGAACATGACAGGTGGTGTTGAGGATGGGATACCTGAGTACAATCTAAATAAATACAACATCAAAATGAAGACTGACTGTACCTTCATTAAAGAAAGCGATGGCCAGCATTAACCTATCCAGAGCCAGCGGAGCAGCCTCTGTGGTGTGGATAACCAGAGACACAGTCCCAGCCAGGCCAAAGAAGAGGTACATGGTGGCGTGCTGCCAGTTCATCAGTTGTTCCCAGTGTTTCTCTGCAAAGTCGTACAACTGGAGCCCCGGTCCACCCGCAGCAAACTGCTCTGCCAGCATCCCTGGGGAACACGGCAGAGGAAACACTCAGATCTCCTTTATTAAAGAGTGGATACTGTAAACACCTGCCTAGTACAGTCTTTTCTAAATGTTTCCTAAGGGAATATAAAGACCTGCTTACCAACAAAAGAGAAGAAGAGTATGACAGAGCTTTCGATGATCTCCAGGCGGCGCTGTGAGGCTCTGCTGGCCAATCGAGTCGATCCAATGTTCTTGTTCCTGCGGGTGGCGTGCCAGAGGGAGTACTTTCCTGTCCACCAGATCCCAGCCACGAGGAAGAAGCTCCCAGGGAGTGCGTGGCCCTTGAAACTCCCCATGACTCGCAACACCTGGATCATGGGAGGCATCAGATCTATTAGCAGTCGTTATGGATAACTGAAGAACTACCGTTGCTTCTGTAACAATCACTTTTTCTTCTTGCACCACAGTAGAAAACAGATTACTTTATTCTCAATATTGTTTCTATATCAAACCAGCAGGTAAAGAATCTCGGTTTCTTCTAAATACAGGTATGAAAACAAACGAGATAATTTCACCTAGTATAAAAATTTGGCATATCATTTATACAAAGTGTTCCTCCGGTAGCTTGGGGGTGTACAGTATTTTTAGCTGAAATGAGAGGGGAAACGTGCAGGAGTGCCTGCAATTTAGTTAAACAGCATAATCAGACATAATTAGTGTGTGTGTTGGCAACAGCCCCTCAGCTTACCTTGGTAGAAGTGTGTCTACACAAGGGAAGAAAGCTGTTAAAGCGTCAAGAGGCTTGCACCTTTACCCTTCAACGTGTGAAGCTATAGAGCAGTTTTTCTATTTATTTCTGGGTTATACCTCTGATCACATGTTCTCCTCAGTAATGATTAACAATCGTTTCCTCAGCAATTAAAACAGCTCGTGATTGATGTGCAGTCTAAGCCGTCTATTCTCTCAAAGGAACAAACGTTTGTCCAAAAAAGGGAGAAACGATCAAAAACAAACAGGCTACCATTTCAGTCGTGGGTTGTGCCCTCTTTGATCCATTGTGTACCTCCTCACGGTTTCATCGTAAATATGAAATGAGTATTAAGAGCTTCGTGAACAGGTTCATGAAGCTCTTAATACCCTTAAGAGTGGCTGCAGTTTCCTTTGTGATGGAGATGACAAACAATATTGTGTCCCGCAGCAACAAAGTGGAGGACACATAATACAAACAGATTCTTTCAGATGTTAAACCG